GATTACATTTCAAGGGGATGACTCACAGGTCATTGAAAATGACATTCTTTGGGTGCAAAACTGGCAAGAGGCTGAGAGATTTATATACCTCTTGCAGAAAAAATAACTTGCAATTCCAAGTTTTCTAAAGCAAATGCACTAAGAAAAAAGAGGCCGGGAAATTATAGTCAGAAAGAAACCTATCTGAAATACAGTGAGGCTGCAGGTAAGAATGAAGGCATCTTGGTGAATGTGGAGGATTTGCTTAAGGTCCTATAATTCCTGGTCCTGGTAGTATCACCGAAGCACTCTTCTCTGGAGTCTTTCAGCTTCCCAGGAGTTTTCGCCAGGGAAGTGTTATGAGTACCCTGTTCCAGTGCTTCAGCCCTCTCTCCATCAACCCTAGTGAGGGAATCCTCCTTTGCTTTATAGGCAGGGGCATAAGGGCTTGGAGGAGTGGGCTCTTGTCTACTTCCCTTTTCTTCCAAGTCACTCTGCTTCTTTGGGAAATCTCTCTATTCTTTTTGTTTGTTTCCTAATTGACCTCAGTGATCCATTACAAGGAAAATCAACCAACGAAAAATCAGTTTCTTTTTCATCCAGGATTGGACGAAGGTAATTTTCAAACCCTCCCAGTGAGCGGAGGGCAAGTGGAGGGTAAGGAGGAAATTTTACATTTTGACTTTCCAATGTAACAAAAAAAAAAAAAAAAAAAAAAAAAAAAAAAAAAAAAAAAAAAAAAAAGAAGAAGGAAGGAAAATGAAAAACAATGCTAAGTTTTCATACTTAAACAATTATGTTCATACTCTGGCACAAAGATAATGTACTTCATAGAACGGTTACGAGTTTAATGGGAAAATTCATATTTCTGGAAGAAATTCTGACTCTTAAGTACTCATTAAATAAGCTCCTTTCTCCCTCCTACACTTTCATTAAGAAATGAAGTATTACCTGTATGTTGGTAAAACACAGAGTGCCTTTTCCAAGATCTTTCTAAATCCTTTCTCTTCTGAATTTCAAACTTCAGCCCATCAATCTTTACAAAATTCTACAGAAATAAAATTGTTGATCAAATTTCAATGTTTAGGACAAAAGAAAAAGTACCACCCTTTAATTTCTCAGTGGAAAGGCCTTGTGGGTCAGCCTTATCATTAACAAATTCATTTATTACTGCTATGAGGCAGTCGAGCTTGCAGTGTTAACTCTATGGATGCCTCATAGAGTTAATTATGTTATTTTCTGTGTTGCCCTACAAAATAACAGTAGGCACTGTGAGGTACTGTCACCCGCTGGTGCTCCACCTAAGCTCATCTTCATGTTCACTGCCCCACTATTACCTAGAAACCACTTTTTTCCTGATTCAGGACTAAACTAAACAGCAGATAATGTGGATGTGAGAAATGTGACTACATATACAAGATATATATGAAATACATAAGATATATATATATATATATATCTTAGTTTCTCACTTTTAGGTAAAGACAATGGAATCAGGGTACAGAGGGAAGTACTTAGACTTTTAGATTCTTGCTCGGTCCATAGTAAGCTTCCCATGATGTTATGTCCCTACTCTTCCGACGATACATAGGCGGATTCCAAGTATTTAGAAATTGTTCACTTGCATCTCCTTCCTTTCCTCACTTTGTTTTCATACTTGTCCCCTGCTTGCTGTGCATATGCATAGATTATGAGAACTGTGACTCCACTAATTGAGGCTGCTGTTGCCTGGTAGGGTTCAAAGGCAGCAGCAGTCGTGCTGGAACTGCATATTCCTTCTGTCACATTCTTCTTGTCTCTATTCCATGTACACAGCTCTATACCACAGAGTCCAAATGCAGACTGCTTGTTTCCATTGTTTTGATTCTGGCATCTACTCCTCCTGCCCTGGGGATGATGAATAATTGAAAACTGAACATGAGCTTAATTTGGTATGCCTTGGAAGTGGTTTTTTATGCTGATTTGGTTTTGTGTTCTCTGAAACATCAAGGGCCAGGCTCCAATGTCAGGAATAATTACTATATCCCATATGTGACACACCTCAAAAATGAACAGGGGACACAGATGACTTCCTACATCATTAGGAATAGTTTTAGATATCTTAATAAATGTCAAGGATGATAAAGAGAATTTTATAGTCCTCTTTTTGGGAAAATAAATCTTTTCTAACTATTTTGGAAATAAATGTTTTCATTTTACAAGGGATTGTAGAAAATTATGTCCAAAACTCTATGCTCCTTGTGTCATTCAATTGCTTTCCCTAGATAATCAGTCAGGGTAGAACCTTCATTAATAGGATACCAAAGATGCTCACACTTCTCTGCTGCTGTATTAAAGAATGCACCTGAAACTGGAGGTCATCATGTTAAGTAAAACAAGCCAGGCACAGAAAAACAAATATCACATGTTCTCACTTATTTGTGGGACCTAAAAATCAAAACAATTGAACTCATGGAGATAGAGAATAGAAGGAGGGTTGCTGGAGGATGGGAAGGGTAGTGGGGAGGATGGAGGAAAGGTGGGGTTGGTTAATGGGTGCAAAAAAATAGAAAAAAATGAATAAGACCTAGTGTTTGATAGCACAACAGGGGAACTATAGTAAATAATAAATTAATTGTACATTTAAAAATAACTAAAAGGGTATAATTGGATTGTTTCTAATAGTAAGGATAAATGCTTGAAGGGCTGGATACCCAATTTTCCATGACATGATTTTTACGCATTGCATGCCTGTACCAAAATATCTCATGTATCTCATAAATACATACACCTACTATGTATCCCCCAAAACCTAAACTTTAAAAAAATTTTTAAGGCCAGGTGCAGTGGTTCATGCTTGTAATGCCAGCACTTTCGGAGTCCAAGGTGGGCAGATCACGTGAGGTCAGGAGTTCGAGACCAGCCTCAACACAGAGAAACCCCGTCTCTACTAAAAATACAAAATTAGCTGGGCATGGTGGTACATGCCTGTAATCCCAGCTACTCGGGAGGCTGAGGAAGGAGAATTGCTTGAACCTGGGAGGCAGAGGTTGCAGTGAGCCGAGATCATGCCATTGCACTCCAGCCTGGGTAACAAGAGTGAAACTCTGTCTCAAAAAAAATAAAATAAATCAATAAATCAATAGAGATTTAAAAGAATGAAGCTGATTATGCACTAGCCCCGACCGCCCTACACAAAATTTATATGCTGAGGTTGCATTCTCCAGCACCTCAGAATGTGGTCATATTTAGAGACATGATCTTTACAGATGTAGTTAGGTTAAAATTAGGTCATTAGAGTGAGCCCTATCCAATATGACTTGTACCTTTATAAAAGGAGGAAATTTGTACAGTCACCTAACAGAGAGATGATGATGTGAACATAACAGGGAGAAGACAGCCATCTATAAGCCAAAGAAAGAAGCCTGGAATAGACAAACCATTCCTTTATGGCTTAACATCTTGATCTCAGACTTCAAGTCTTCAGAAATGTGAAAAAATACATTTCTGTTTTTTAAGCCACCCAGTTTCTGATACCATGTTATTGCAGCCCTAGCAAACTAACACAGCATTCTTCTGTCAACCCAAGGCAGGAACACCTAGGACTAGCTGACTCCATCCTTCCTGTTCACAGCTGATTGGACCAGAGGGAGTACACCTAATGCAAGAGAGCAAAACCACTGACTGTCCAGCAGCCAATGAGAGTTTCTAAAAAATCTGAACCAAAAGGCAAAGCTGAAAAGGAGGACGTTGTTGTCTTTAAGGGCAGAGCACTGTAGTGGGTCTGGCTTCTATGTGGCCCTTTGTTGGGCTCACTGGTTGTTGGCTCCGTGGTTGTGCGCTCCGAGGTTGTGGGCTCTGTGGTTGTTCCACTCTTTTGTTTGTTTGGATTCCACATGGTCTGTGGCCTTAACATAAGCTGGGGTAAAAAATTTCAAAGAATTCTTACCTCAGAAAACAGAAGTCAGTCAAGAAGGGACCAGACGCAAGCCGACAAAGGTGAACCGGGGAAGAGAGGAGAAAAATGAGAAAGTGAGAGGTGCAACATGCTAGCAGCCCTCGCTTGCTCTCGGCGTCTCCTGGGCCTCAGCGTCCGCTCTGGCCACATTCGAGGAGCCCTTTAGCCTGCCTCTGCGCTATGACAGTCCCTCTCTGGGGCTGGCCGAGGCCGAAGCCGGCTCCCTCTGCTCACGGGGAGATGTGGAAGAAGAGACGCGGGCGGGAGCCGGGGCTGCGTGCTACGGTGCGGGTTCCGGGTGGGCGCGGGCTCGGCGGGTCCCGCACTCGGTGTGGCCGGCCGGCGCCTGCTGGGCCTGATCCGAGGCTAGGTCCCGTGTGAGGACCGCCGTTGCCTCTTCGCGGGGTCGTTGGCCACGATGGCAGGTCTCCCTTTCTTTCTTGCTTCCCCCCTTTTCCTCTTGGGACAAGCTCCCGCTGGGCTGCCGAAGTGCCCTGGTTAGGAGCTGCAAAGTCCCCGAGGCACTGGCAGTGAGACATGAAGCCAGCTGGGCTTCTGGGATGGGTGGGAACTCGGAGAACTTTTCTGTCTAGCTGAAGGATTGTAAACGCACCAATCAGCACTCTGTGTCTAGCTAACGGTTTGTAAACAGCACCAATCAGCACTCTGTCAAAATGGACCAATCAGCTCTCTGTAAAACGGACCAATCAGCTATCTGCAAAATGGACCAGTCAGCAAAATGTGCGTGGGGCCAGGCAAGGGAATAAAAGCAGGCCACCCTTCCCTGAATTTTGCTGCTGCCCACTGCTTGGCTCGCTGCTACCTGTATGAGCTGTAACACCGCAGAAGTCTGCAGCTTCACTGCTGAAGCTAGCAAGACCACAGACCCACCGGGAGAGACGAACAACTCCAGACAGGAGGAACCAACAGCTCTCTACGCACCACCTTTATGAACTGTAACACTCACCTAGAAGGTCTGTAGTTTCACTCCTGAAGTCAGTGAGACCACGAACCCACCAGAAGGAAGAAAGTCTGGACATATCTGAACATCTGAAGGAACAAACCCCAAACACACCATCTTACACCATCTTTAAGAACTGTAGCACTCGTGGGGAGGGTCCGTGGCTTCATTCTTGAAGTCAACGAGAGCAAGAACCCACCAATTCCGGACACAGAAAGGAGAATAAACATGTCACTGTCTTGATTGTGAAGCCAAATTCATCCACTCATTCATGCTATAGAGCCCATGTGTTAGGCCCTGGGCTAGATGCTGCTAACCCAGTAATAACGAAGACTTCGTCTCCATATCCAAGAAGCTTAAGGTCTAGAAATATTTGGCTTATTGGTTATTTTGAACTTGCCTTACCTCTGTCTCTTTGATTACAATAGATCAGTTAACAATTTCTCTCTCATTTTTTTAAATGATTCATTCTTGCCTGTATGTCTGCGCATACACACACACACACACACACACACGTAATTTTTTCTGCTACTCCTATTATTTATTATAAACTAGGAGGGAAGCAGTGTCCACATAGTTATGAGAGAGAATAAGTCAGAAAAATTAACTTTCCTTCTTTCTTATGTTTAACGATGGGTCTAGAAAAAAAAATTCTGGAACCAAGGAAGTGTATTATTTTAATATCCCTCTCTCCTTTTATACCTCTTTCTTATCACTCACTTCGTCTGTCTCCAGGTTGTAAGCGTGTCTGAGAATCACTTCCAGGCTTGATCCCTGATCCATGAAGTACACCATGCTCCGAAGTTTTTTATTCCTCCTCCCATCTTCTCCACTTCTGCATTAAAAACCTCCAATAAATTCAGTGCAAGTGAATTACCTGGTGTTAGGAAAAGTGTAATCAGATAGAACTCAAATGTATGAATGTTTTTGACTAATAATACTTTACCCTCCTTGTAGGTTTTCTGGTCTTTCAAAGAAGATACTTATTAATATAAATTACTGTCCATCTGTTAGAATTACAGGCAATGTAGAAAAATGAAGTTTCAAAATTCTAGAGATATGTGTACAATGGACCACCAAAAGAGCAGGAAAATTCCCTATTGGATTCTATCCCTGTTGTCAACATCCCTAACTGCCTCTTCATTCAGTTTGTCTTCTTCCATTCCTTAGAGACTGTTTGCAAGATTTTTTGCAAAATCCAGGGTTTTGTGGGATTTATTTTTCTTAAAGGTGGTGAGATGAAGTTACAAGAGAAATGTGGAACAGGAGTACCTGTCTTCTATATAGGTCAACTAACTTAATCATCCTTTTATTCCTTTTTATTTAAGAAGTATGTATTAAGAGTCTACTTTCTTGTCTTTTCCATACTTGGGATACAAGTAACCAGTATGGAAATTGGTTACTTGGCATACAGTAATACAAAGCCTGTGCCTTTGTAATACTCACTTTTGGGAGCGTGCAAGGTTCATAAAGTTACACGATCTGGCCAAAGTTTGTCACTGCAGGAGTATGAAGTGCACGCGAGGGAAGAGTGGCTTACAGCAGATGAGGTAATAAAAACAGTGTTCAAAGCTAAGACATGCATGGTGCTTGCTATGTGCCAGGTGACAGTATGTCCTTTACATACAACTCACATATAATTATTTTGTTCTCAAAAACTCTGGGAATTAGGTACTATTGTTACCATCATCATTCCTGTTTTACAAATGAGGAAACTGAAACACAAAATAATGAGAGCCATAGAGCTGATTATTGATGAAGTTGGGCTGTGGACACAGGCATCTGGCTGCCAAATCTATATGCTTCACCACCACCCTATTGCTGGCATGAGATTGTTTTCTGTAAGTTGAATTTTAAAAACAGAAATTTTGGATACAATGCCATTAGGCTGAAACTAACCCTGTGAGATCCTCTATGGACATGCTATACTTTTGTAAAATTATTGCAGTGATATTTATGATTAAAACTTGAAACTAAAAACCATCATTTTCTGAAATGTTAGAAAAGCAGATTAATATGTAAAGTGGTAAAGAAAAGCAACTTTTTAAAATTTGTCCAGTTCTGTCATTAACTTACTGCATGTCTGAAGGTTAGATCACATGAACTCTCCAGATTTGAAATTCCTCATATGGTGGGTGATCATATAATTAATTGTCCAAATGGGGACACTTAGCAATGAAGGGGGGCCCTATTAATAATTACACTGGGACAATATTGCCAGGCAAACCACAGTAGATTGCTCAACTTATGTATCAAAATGAGGCTAGAAGAGCTGATACCTAAATTCACTTCTAGTTGCAGTGGGTGTGTTTGTGTTGGCCTGACTGACTGTTTATCCAATGTATTAGGATCATTTAGTAAGAGGCAGAAGGAAAACTCAGAGGTCTGACTTAACCCTGTTATGGTTAACAAGGTCTGTGCCTAGATTAGAACATTTTTATTCTAGTAAATAAAGTAATAATAATAATTTATAAATTGACCACATTTATATTAAATTGAAATTGTGCAGGAGAAAACAAATGCAAGTTAATTCCAAGTAGGCTTAATGCCCAATCAGTACTACGAAAATACAACAAAATGAAACCAATGCCCAAGAAAGGCTGCCAATTAGAAAGAAAGAATTGATTTAATTCATAACAGGTTTTAATTTTGAGTCCTCAAGACTGAACAGCTAACTTGGGTACCTCCAACCAGCATGATACTGAGAACAGTGTGACCTGATTTAAAGGAATTTTGAGTTTGTACAAAGATCATTGGCAGGAGATCTTAAGGTCTTCATTCATGTATTCATTTAATGGATTGGCAAAAGCTTGTTATGTGCCAAACATTGCTATGGGCTGATGATACAACTAAGTAAAAACATAACCCTTGCCCTGGAGGAAATACCAGTCTGATCTTGACACCGCCATATACATGCAGTGAGGCTTTGGATATATCATTTAACTTTTCTGAGTCTCGGTTTCCTTAAAGTAAAATGAGGGAACTAAAAATGCATGGTCACTAAAAATCGTCATTTGGCTAGTTAAATTTTATGAAATCAGAAGTTCTGTCTGGATAAATGTTAACCTTTAGCTGGTTTCACTATGTTAGATAATAATGTTAGGGAAAGATTTGAAAATACAATAGGCGTGCTACTGTTTGTCTCCATAATCATTGTGTTGAAAAAAAGAGATGTTTTCCTTTCACCCATAATTTTCCCTTTGTTCACTATCTTCAGGCCACATTTTCCATGTGGTGTTTGGCAGCATGTGCTATGGTCTGAATGTGTCTCCCAAAAAGCTGGTGTTGGAAACTTAATCCTCAATGCAACAGTGTTGGGAGAGAAGCCTAATGGGAGGTTTGGATCATGAGGGCTTGGCTCTCAAGAATGGATTAATGCTGATTATAAAGGTGGTTTGCCAGATTCCAGCCCCTCAATCTTGAACTTCCTAGCCTCCAGGACCATGAGTAATCAATTTCTGTTCATTTGAAATTACCTAGTCCAAGATATTCTGTTATAAGCATAACAAAATGGACTAAAACAGCCTGTAAGTATGCAGTTTCAGAATACATGATACCAGTGGTCTTCAAATGTAGATAGCTAGGCCTCACTTCCAGGGTTTCTGTTTTGGTAGGTCTGATGTGTCAGATTAAAATGACCAACTACCCCACATTTCCTGGGACTATAAGTTTTAGCACTAAAAGTCTTTTCTCTCTCCAACCCACCGCCTCCCCTTTTTTTGGATACAGAGTCTTACTCTACTGCCCAAGCTGAAGTGTAGTGACATGATCATGGCTCACTGCAAGCTTCAAACTCTTGGACTCAAGAGAAACTCTCAGCTTGGCCTCCCAAGTAGCTGGGACTACAGGTGCACACCACAATGCCTGACTATTTAAAAAATATATTTTTTGTAGAGATGGGGGTCTTGCTATGTTGCTCAGGCTGGTGCTGTACTCCTAGGCTCAAGCAATCCTCCTGCCTTGGCCTCCCAAAGTGCTGGGATTATATATGTGTGCCACCTTGCCCACCTCTTTTATCTCAAGAAACTCTTCAGTCTCAGATAAGACAGACTAGTTGTTCACCCTAGGTAGAGCATAAGAATTCGTATTTTTAACAAGTTCCCAAATGATACACATACAGATGATCCAGGGGCCACATATTGAGAACTACTGCTCTATAGCTGTGGTTTTCATCCTTGGCTGTCCATTAGAATTATTTGAGGAGTATAAAAACGATATTTATTCTTATCTAACTGATCTCAGTTACAGCCAGGTAATTGTCCTTGTTAAAATCTTCTCAGGTGATCCTAGAATACAGTCAAATTTAAGAACCACTGCTTAGATCCATGAAGCTAATCACTGAACACTTTGACTCTGTCCTGTTAACCTCCTGTAATTGCATTGTCTTGCCATCTTTACTGCCCCTGCTGTGATTCAAGACATCATTTCCTGCTTGCATGGTTGCACTAATCACATGACTGACTTCCCTCCCTTCAAGTTTCTCACACCATCTCTACTTCATGCTTTCTGCAACTGCTGGAGGAATCTTACTAACATTAATACTTGATTATATTACTCCCTTTCTGAGGATCTAATGGACTTTCTTGTATTACTGTAATTCATGTTATCTGCTCTAAAAAGTAATTGCCAAATCCCAGCTACTTACCACAACAAAGGTTTATTTCTTTGGCATGCCATAGTTCAACGGCTGTTCTCCTGAACAATTCTTCTTCCAGAACTGTGGTGACAGCAATTCTCCCATTTTGTAGCTTCATGATCCCTAGGGCTCCCTTGGAGTCCTCCCTTGCGTCACTTCCATTTAGTTAACTGAGAGGTGGATGGACAGAATGTGGAGCATGACACAGGATATTTAGAGGCTGGGCCCTGAGGTCGTATACATCACTTCTGCACATATTCCGTTGGCCAGAATAAAAACCTTGTAGCCCCAGCCAGATGCCAGGTGATCTGGAGAATGTCTTGTTGTGTGCCTAGAATGAAAATGAAATAGCACAGTGACTATAAAGTATTATCTCTGTTGCAACTTTTATCAGAGTAATACAAACACATTGTGGGTAATTTATTGGGTTGTATCACACTCATTAAAATTACTCCTCATTGCCTTCTGTATAAAGTTCAAAGTCCTGTGCTTGACTTGCAGTGATCTTGAGATTCTGTTCCTGACTCACTTTTCAGTGTCAACTTTTGATACTTTTCACAGGCATTCCCTGTCCGTATTCCCAAAATGTCCCATGCCGTCATGCCAATTTGAGAGTCTGAAAAATCTTTCCCCATTTCTTCACTTAACTCTTTCCTCCTAGCTTCTCAGAGCTCAGTTCAAGAGCCAACTCAGAAAGCATTTTCTGAATCTCCATCACCTTCTGCTTCCCAATTTGAAATTGTTGCTCCTATTCTCCATTCTAATAGCCCCTGGCATTCCACACTCATAGACCTCATTCCATTGTGTATCTTTGACATGGTCCAGAACATCTTGATTATGAGCATCTTGTGGGTGACAAAAGTGCTTTTTCTCATTGTGCTTAATACTACATGACACCTGGCCTGTAGCAGACCTTGAATAAATGCTTGTTTGGTTAAATGAATGACTGTTTAAAGACAATTTTTAAAAACCCTGATATCATACTACAGAGTAGTCGAGATGGTTTCCATTGCAATTTGATAAGTATAAGCAGAGTCCCCTACTTCAGACACGTGTGTGTGTTGAACTATTGAATATCCCTTTCATATTTCAAATGGGGCACTGTATCAAACATGTATTCACCATTAAACACAGCCTTTCTTGGATTGATTTCTCAGTTTGCATATCAAATTGTTATGCAGAGTCCATCAGAATAGGATCCAGAAGAAGTGTTTTAATAAGAGCTGAGATTTTTAAACTGAAAAATATATTCAGAGTATGGGCTATTTAATGAACAAAGACCTGGATTTTATATCACGCTGGAGGTCTTAGCCAGATATAGCATAAAAACACATGACTGAGGTCCAAAGGACACACAAATAAGCAGGTAAGGACAGAGGGGCAGGGCAAGATAGCAGAATAGAGGCCTCCACCAATTGTACCCCCAATAAGGACACCAACTTAACAACTACCTATGCCAAAAAAAGCACTTTTATAAGAACCAAAAATCAGGGGAGCACCCACAGTACCTGGTTTTAACTTCATATCACTGAAAGAAGCACTAAAGAGATGGGAAAAACAATCTTGAATCACCAGTGCCACCCCTTCCGCATCCCGCCACAGTGGGAATGAGGTGCAGAGAGCATTTTGCCATGCTGGGGAGAGGAAAACACAGCATAGATGAGGCATTGAACTCATTGTTGCCCTATTATAACAGAAAACAAAACTGAACCAAACTCAGCTGACGCTCACCCATGGAGGGAGCATTGAAACCATCCCTAGCCAGAGGGGAATCACTGATCCCAGTGGTCCAAATGTCAGTTCCTACAAACCTCACTACAGTGGGCTAAAGTACTTTGGAGTTCTACCTAAGCTAGAAAGACAATCTAGGTGACATGACAGGAAATCCTAGGTAAGTCCTAATGTTAAACTGGGCCCAGAGACAATAAACTGGGTGGCATGCAACATACACAGACACCAGAGGGGTGGCTAAGGGAGTGCTGGCATTACCACTCCCCTAACCCCAAGCTGCACAGCTAATAGCTTTAAAAGAGACCTCTTCCCTCTGCTTGAGGAGAGGAGAGAAAAGAGTGGGGGAAGACTTTGTCTTGCATCATGGATACCAGCTCAGAGTGAACTATTACTTTGGGAGGTTGAGGCAGGCAGATCACTTGAGATCAGGAGTTTGAGACTAGCCTGGCCAACATGGCGAAGCCCCATCTCTACTAAAAATACAAAAATTAGCACAGCGTGATGATGCACACCTGTAATCCCAGCTACTTGAGAGGCTGAGGCAGGAGAATTGCTTGAACCTTGGAGGCAGAGGTTGTAGTGAACCAAGATGGCACCATTGCACTCCAACCTGGGCAACAGAGTAAGACTCTGTCTCAAAAATAAACAAACAGACAAATAAGTAAAGAACTTTATGGTATGTGAATTGTGTCTCAATAAATGTTTTTTTTTTTTTTTTTTTTTTGAGACGGAGTCTCACTCTGTCGCCCAGGCTGGAGTGCAGTGACGCGATCTCCGCTCACTTCAAGCTCCGCCACCTCCCGGGTTAATGCCATTCTCCTGCCTCAGCCTCCCTAGAAGCTGGGACTACAGGCGCCCACCACCACACCTGGCTAATTTTTTTTGTATTTTCAGTAGAGATGGGGTTTCACCACGTTTGCCAGGATGGTCTCAATCTCCTGACCTCGTGATCCACCTGCCTCGACCTCCCAAAGTGCTGGGATTACAGGCGTGAGCCACCACGCCCAGCCAATAAACCTGTTTTTATAATAGATATACATATATAAATATATATATATGGAAAGTCGCTGAAGACAAATCTCAACTTTCATTGTTTTTTTCCTTGAACAGCCCTTGGGATTATATATTAATAGTTATAAACGCAGTGGCCTGATGGCCTTAATAAGGGCTCAGCTAGCTCCACTAACTAGTCAATGACCCAGCAGCAGCAGCAGACAAAGTTGTCACCTTCCAATGGAAATCACCTTTATTTTCCTTAGCATTGATCTGTTGTACACCATCCTGTAAATATATACTGGATAATTATCTTCCCTTGTTTGCATTTTTAGCATGAGAGATGGTCAGAGCTTATATCAGAAAGATAATTCCAAGGATCCTTCCCATTTTCATCTACCATCTTCTGGGATATAGTTGACATGGAAAGATGGCAATGTATATGTGACTATACAAAAATATATTTCTGGAGTATTTCCATTTGCCTTTCTATATCCATTCTTTACTCCTCTCAACTCTGGGAGCTGACCTTTACTGACTGTGTCTACAAATTCCCTTACCTTTTCTGACTAGGTTTATTCATAGGCTGCATGAACAGTGAATCAGAGGTTGGAGAAAAGGTTCTGTATAATTATTCAACTGGCTCCCTCCCTGTGGGTTACAACAGGTAAATGCCTATCTACAGAAGTCCACAGGTCCAGTAGGTTGACCTCTAGGATGCTGGAAGTTACCTCCAGTTACTCAGCAAGGTTGTGTTAATTGCTCCTTCTGGATTGGTGTTGGTTCCGTGCAATTGCTAGTCCCATAGTGTTTCATTACCTCTCATCGGTTTCCCTTAATCCAGTAAATAGTCTCTTAAACATTAGAAATGCCTCTTTACTGAAGTTTCCAGCTGGAGAATGCCCTTTCTTTCCTACAGGGCTCTGACTGATACAGTAACTGTCTGACTAACAACACATAGTTGATATTTAGCAGCCAGTTGAAAGGCTGCAAATAGACTGTGTGCTTAATCTCTTTTCATAAACTACAAATGCTTAAAAAGTTATTTATGACCAATGCAAAAGTGTCATATATTTAATACTATTTGGAAGACATTTCCAGGTGCATAATGCCAATCCACAATTCAATCCCTCCTGGCAAACGATGTTATAAATAAGAGGGAGAGAGTTTAAATTAGTGCTCTCTAGACTCAGAGTTAGGGGTTAGGAGCACTACACATCGAATTGAAATCTCCAGTTCCACAAAAAGTGCCAAACGTTCTCTTAATGTAACTTTTGGAATACTATTGACTGAGTGAAATTTTGAGGCCTCAGAAGTTGAACATTCACATGGCCATCCTAAGTGCCCTGTCTGACATGTCTCTGCTTAGTCAACATGTCTGCATTTAATTACCACCATGAGTAAATTTACCTCCAGCCCTACTTGCACTACATGGATATATGTTTTAAAAATCATTTTGCTTATTAATGCATATTAATACATAGTCTTAAGGTGCACATATTGCAATTTAAAATAAACTATGGGTGACAAGCCGACTCTCCCACTTACTAGCTGTCTCACAAAGTTAATCTCTCTAAACCTCAGCGTTCTGAAATTAAAGAGGATGATAACAATTTTTTACATCATGGATTCTTGTAAAATACAAATGAATTAGTAAATCTAAGTGTTTAGCACAGTAACTCATAAAAAGCACTAAGTGAATGGTGACTATCCTGTTATGTGTCTCTCTTTTCCTTGTGATAAACTGTTATGTAACAATTTATTACATAACAGAGCGTGGTACATTTTCTTCTGTGGCCAGCAGCTTCCAGGCTACCATGTCTGTTCCCACAGTCACTGTATTTATTTCTGGGAATGGCATTCCAGTTGAGAGTTCAGAAACTGTAGAATAGGAAGCAACTTTAGACATGATGTAGTCCAACCTGCTCAATTTAATGATGAGAAATCCAAGACCCAGATGAGTGAAATGGCCTATGGGCTTGCTGATGCAGCAGCCATGCAGGAGCTAGCAGCAGCGCTTCCATTTCCCATGCAGTTGCCATGTTCACCACACAGTGGAGATGCCTGCAGAAATGGTTTCTGAGAGCATAGCTTTTGCCCTGAGTCCCAGATCTCTCTTTGGATCACACTGCTTGGTCTTTCATGCCTATGGCCCAGTGAAGTTTCCAATCCTGTTCTCACCACCACCACCACAACCCACGAACTCAAACTGGACATTATAACATTATAAGACAGGTGCTAAGAGCTCTGCTTACAACTCTCCAAGATGCAAGCTCAAGTCAGAGCTCCTAATTTAGGCATAAATTAACTGGAAGACATTTTGAAATAAATAATTTTCTCCTGCCTTCAGGGCAAAGAAATCAGATGCATGAAGGGTAAAGACCCTGGTCAAAATCACCAGACACAAAAGGTCATATATTGTATGATTCGCTTTATATGGAATATCCAGAATTAGTACATCTAGAGACATGGAAAATAGAGTAGTGATTGTTAGGGCTGGAAGAAGGGTAAATGGGCACAGATTTTGCGTTTGGAGTGAGGAAAATGTGGAACTAGATAAAGGTGATGGCTTTGTATATAAAGGTACGGAATGTCTCTGAATTGTAT